TGCAAAAGCCCCTGAGTAAAATATATTTAAAATTGACAAAGCTCTTAATAAAGCTTAATACAAAATTGTTTATTATACAGACATTATACAGTCTGAGCTTTGAATTTGTTTCTACTTCATTCTCTTTCCTACATTTCACTATTTCTCCTTTTTTTGGTGTCTTTTTGTGCTTGCATCTTGTCTAAAAAGGGTGTTGATTAGGTCATAAAGAAGAATCCACCTACTGCAGTATTCTTGGAAATACTAAAAAAAAGACAGCTTAGACAGCATGAAGCTTGTAAATAATTTACAGGTTTTGGAGTGGTTCATAAGACCATGTGCTGGAGGTGTAATTTCCCAGCAGTAAAACTGCAGGCAAGAGAGATCATCAAACGGCAGAATGATATTTATTATTCTCTCTCTCTTCTTTCTGTTGGTTTATCTTATTTTCTCTTTAAAGGAGAGAGGACTGGACTCACGAAAAACAGCTCAAGATGAACTTTTCCTCCTTTGTATTCTCCAAAAGAAAAATATAATACATCATTAATTCAATTTTGAAAGACTATCAAACAGAAATTTTCTGTAACAAAACAAATTATATACGACTGGAGGAAAAAAAAATACAGGGAATGGTTTAAATAACCCTCACATTTTTCTTTCAAACTATTTAATTATTTTCCTTTCTTTTATAAGAGTTTAATGAAAGGTTAGAAAGATTTTTTTAATTACAGTTGGTACTATGGAAGAAGTTAGCAATAACTTGACATAAAGCCATGAGGTATACTTAACAATTACAATATTAAATCTCTTTCACTAAACTAGAGAAATCTCCTGATAAACACAATAAAGCCAGATTTCTGAGTCAAGAAAAGAGCAGTCTTGGAAGTAAATGATATTGGCTATGTGTATATATAGAGAGATTAAAATTATTTAAGAACAGAAGTGTTCACAGTCTTGTATAGTCTCAGAGGAAAGATCCAAGCTAAAGAAAGAAAAGTTTCAACTAAATATTTCTGATAAGATTAATTGGCCAGCATCACAGATTTTTAATGAATGTTCTTACAACACCAGGACTAGAGATCTCCAAGGATGGAAAATGTAAGGTGTTATTGGCAGTGCTGTGGTAAAGAGCGAAGGAAAGTGTGGCGAGCAAGCCAAGATAAACTCAAGAGGTCATTCCTGGCTCTAATAATAAGCAATTCTGTGGAAGTAGGTTACCTTTCTAAGCATTGTTTCTTTCAAACAGAATGGTGAGACTGGAGTTCATTAAGTGACAGAAAAAAGTACTACCTTTAAATGAGGTATGTAGATTATGCATTTCTCCAAAAACAGGCTGCTAACTTATTTTGAACTAAAAAAAGAATACATTAGACAATTTTTTTCCAGAGTACCTTTGATTCCCCTCTAACATTTAAATGCAGTCAGGAAATGGGAGTCTTATTCTTCACAGCTTCAGACTAAGGACTGTCACAGATGGAGTTGCTGGCATTTCCTGTAAAAAAGGGGAGAGTGCTCTTTATAAAATGAACATATTTTTAATGTCTTTCTCATCCAAGGAAAGGTAGGAAAATTGCTTTATATGTTAATAAGCCATAGAGTTAGATGAACCTAAATGCACATTTTTTCATTCCTTATTTATTAAGCTTCTCAGAAAAATTAAAAAAAAAAATGCAAAATCTGAGTTGTACAAATTAAAATATATAGCTTTGCTTTTTAGTTTGCTCAAAATGTGCCTATTTTTTTGTCTGAAAAGAAGATACATGCAGAACAGAAAGTAACCATGGCTTCTCTAGCACCTAGACATACACAAGTCTATGGGGTCAGATGGGATCCACCCATGGGTACAGAGGGAGCTGGCAGAAGTGCTCACCAAGCCACTTTCTGTCATTTATCAGCAGTCCTGGCTAACTGGGAACATCCCAGTTGACTGGAGGTTAGCAAATGTGACATCCATCTACAAGAAGGGCTGGAAGGAGGATCTGGGGAACAACAGGCCTGTCAGTCTGGCCTTGGTGCCTGGGAAGGTTATGGAACAGATCATCCTGAATGCCATTGCACGGCACATGCAGGACAACCAGGTGATCAGGCCCAGTCAGCATGGGTTCATGAAAGGCAGCTCCCGCTTGACAAATCTGATCTCCTTCTATGACAAGGTGACCCAGTTAGTGGATGACAGAAAAGCTGTGGATGTTGTTTACTTGGACTTCATTAAAGCCTTTAATACTGTTTCCCACAGCATTCTCCTGGAGAAACTGGCTGCTCATGGCTCGGATGGGTGTACTCTTCGCTGGGTAAAAAACTGGCTGGTTGGCCATGCTCAGAGAGTGGTGGTGAATGGAGTTGAATCCAGTTGGCAGCAGGTCACAAGTGGTTTTCCCCAGGGCTCAGTATTGGGGCCAGTTCTCTTTAATATCTTTATCAATGACCTGGACAAGGGGATCAAGTGCAGTCTCAGTCAGTTTGCAGACACCACTAAGTTAGGCAGCAGTGTTGAACTTCTTAAGGGTAGGATAGCTCTACAGAGAGATCTGGACAGGTTAGATCAATGGGCCAAGGCCAGTGGTACGAAGTTCAACAAGGCCAAGTGCCGGGTCCTGCACTTAGGTCATAACAACCCCATGCAGCACTACAGGCTTGGGGAAGAGTGGCTGGAAAGCTGCCTGGTGGAGAAGGACCTGAGGGTGTTGTTTGACAGCCGGCTGATTATGAGCCAGCAGTGTGCCCAGATGGCCGAGAAGTCCAATGGCATCCTGGCCTGTATCACAAATAGCGTGATGAGCAGGACTAGGGAAGTGATCATCCCCTGTACTCAGCAGTGGTGAGGCCCCAACTTGAGTACTGTGTTCTGGGCCCCTCACTACAAGAAAGACACAGAGGAGCTGCAGTGTGTCCAGAGAAGGGCAACAAAGCTGGTGAGGGGTCTGGAGAACAAGTCTTATGAGGAGCGGCTGAGGGAACTGGGGTTGTTTATCCTGGAGAAAAGGAGGCTGAGGGGAGACTTACTGCTCTCTACAACTACGTGAAAGGAGGTTGGAGCAAGGTGGGGGCCGATCTCTTCTTGCTAGTAACACGTGATAGGACAAGTTACACCAGGGGAGGTTTAGGATGGTTATTAGGAAAAGGTTCTTCACAGAAAGCATTGTTAAGCACTGGAACAGGCTGCTCAGGGAAGTGGTAGAGTCGCCATCCCTAGAGGTGTTTAAAAGACGGGTAGATGTGGTGCTTAGGGACATGGTTTAGTGGTGGTTTTGGCAGTGTTAGGCTGATGGTTGGACCTGCTGATCTTCAAGGTCCGTTCCAACCTAGACAATTCTATGATTCTGTCATTCTATGATTCTTTTTCTAAATTCTAAAATAGTGCATTGTCTTTTCACACTCCCATCCATCTCACCGAGAAGGCTGCATTATTCTTCCTTCCATTCCTCCAAGTCTGGGAATGACATACATATACACACACACATATATATACATATATATATCAATATATATCTCATATATATCTCGATGTATGCTTGAAAAAGGAACTTGTGAAATACCTTTGTTATATTTTCTACACTGAATAACGATATCACTAACTATATCACTATCAGTGAGTATCTGAACACTTCAATGATGTTACCATTATTCTAAAGTACCATGAAAGTAAAAATGCTGCTCTTTTGCATGCACTTACCCAACTCCAAAAGGCTTCACATAAAAAGACAAGCAGTGTAGTAAGCCTGCTGGGGATCACAGAGACCCTAGACCATCTGACTACAGTCAGAAGCTGGTAAAGCAGAGAGACATCTTTTAGAATGCCCTCAATCCCAAATACATGACAGGCAGGGCGATGCCACCTCAGTTAACGGGTTGCTCCTTACCTGACGAAGGGTAGAGATGCTAGATGCATTTCACTGTTCCCCCCATTCCCCAAGGCATCAGTTTGAAAGGCAGTGTGGCCCAGCAGTCAGTATGTATCTGGTCTTACAGAGACCTGTGCTTCACCGGTGACAGCCTCTGTGACCAGGAACAAATAATTTCATACTTCTGTCCAAATAGCATAGCAATAGACAAAATAAATGTAGGAAACTTAACACTTAATTTGTCTTTTCTTACTTACCTTTGTTTCAAGACATACTTACCTTTTAAATAGCTTTCCAGGCTTTTATCACCCTCTCTGTTAAAGAAGGAATTAAGGCGCAACGAAATTAAATGCGTTGCCCAAAGTCATCTGCTCAGCCTGGCAAATTCAGGGCTAGAACTCAGCTGTTTGGCCTTTAATTTCTATGCATGACTTAGTAAACAATACGGTATTCCTTCTGCTTTTCCTACCTCTTTACATAAGTCAGTTTTGTTAAGTCACTTCTCTAATCCTCCTCCTCTAATCCTTCTACTTGCTTTTGTTTTCTCTGTAATCACCCCGCTCTGACACTTTCTGCTTATTCTTTCTTACATGTTTCAGTTTATGAACAGGATATAAAGCTGCAGAAAGATCTTCAAGGTTTGCACAAGATCTTCTGTGGCAGGGTCTTTTGAGTTAATTGAATATGACTGCATGTTGTATCATTAATAATTTTTTGTCCCCATTTCTGCTTGGTCAAGTGCTGCTAGTGGCTGCGGGAGCGACCACCCATGGCCCGCAGCGACACTGATAGCTCCGTGCACTGCAGCAGGGCGGTTGCTGCTCACGTCTGTCACTCTGGTCCCAAGACTGAAGTTTAGATATATGGCACAGCAGAAATTTTTGTGCCGTGGGAACTCTTTAGGAAGGTACTTCAAAGTGATACACATTTAATGCATTAATGTTTGGTTGAAAGTGCAAAATCACACATATTAAATTCAGAATCACATACATGTTCTGTGTGATCTCATGAACACATGATTTGACTCAAC